AAATTATTTTCCATCTGGAACTCCTCCTGTCCTTGTCATGAATTAGATGGGGTGGTTTTCAGAGCCTGAGAACGTGCTGAGAAAGCACTTAGCCAAATTTAGCAGATTTGTTGGCATCTGATAGGGCCGTGATACAAATGCTTCTGCTATGGCCATTATTGAAGTGACTTTTAACTTGTTAGTTAGAGAAGTACTCATGGAGTAAAGTGAATCTTCCTCTTTTAGACACTGCTGCCACACACACAGTTTGGTATGACTGAATCAAGTGATTTAAGATTATACTGCACTTGTAATGCTACCAAACTGATTTGTTAGACTTAGAGTTTAGATAATGGGGAATTTGATAAATGTTCTTGCATACTCAAAGGGCAATTATAGAGAGAGTAGAGATGGGTCTCTGGCTATAGGGGACAGGACTAGAAGCAGTGACCTTAACCTGCAACAAAGGAAATTTAGTTTGAAAATTAGGAGGAACTTTCTCACTGTGAGCTAGTCAAGCATTGAAACAGGCTACATAGAGAAGATGTGGAGTCTGCATGCCTGGAAATATGCAAGGGCAGGTTAGATACATTTGACTGGGATGGTTTAGTCAGGGATCATCCTGCCTTGAGCAGGAATTGGACTAGATCAGTGGTGCTCAACCTTTTTCTTTGGCAGGCCATGGGCAGTGCCGGTCCGTCCAAAGGCCAGATGTGTCCAGTGGCCCTCTTCTGGCATCTACGGCAGGTGTGGCAGGGCCCCATCCAGGCATGTAGAGAGGGCAGGGGGCAGCCTGGCTCGATACAGCCCTGCATCGGGGGGGGCATGGTCCAGAAAGGGAGCATGGCCCAGCTTTGACCCCAGCCCAGTGGCACAGAGAGAAGGGGGCATGACCTAGCCCAGATTTGGCTGTGCTGGTGGAGGGGATATGGGAATTTGGCAGCAGGGGAGGGTGGCCACTGTTGTCCCACTGCCAAATTTTCCTATCCATGGGAGCCCCACGGGCCAGATGCAATGGCTTCTCAGGCCTCATTTGGCCTGTGGGCCAGAGGTTAAAACACCCCTGGACTAGATTATCTTATGAGGTCCCTTCCAGACCTGTATTCCTATGATACTAAGGTGATCTGTATTTATGATTATTCTGCCTCCCTTGTAATTGAGATCTGTCCTTTGCTTTTGTCATTAGGCCTGTCTAATAGGTTTGAGAGATTTGAGAGCTATCGGAGATATGTGGGACAAAGGGAACTTTGTTGCTTTGGGGATAGTCTAATTTTGTTTTCATGACTTTGTCAGAGGCAGCTGGAACCTTGGAAAAGTACACCTTTTATAAATCAGTAGTAATTTTTAGGCAGTTGCAAATGTACTGGGGGAGGAGGCCTGGGACTCTGCACTTATCACTGGATGTGTCTACATGAGACACCTTACTGTGCGGTAGAATCATAGAACTGGAAAGGACCTGTAAAATCGTTAAGTGTGGTCCCCTGCTGTGGGCAGGAAGTTATTGGGCTCAGACGAGCTGGAAAAGGTGCCTGTCTAGCCTCATTTTGAACGCTTCCAAGGAGGGTGACTGCACCACCTCTGCTGGGGGGGGTGTTTCAGATTCTGGCGACCCTTGCAGAAAAAAAGTTTTTTCTTATGTCTAAACTTGATAGACTTATCTACTGCGCAGTAAAGTGTCACTGACTATACATATGCACATTTACTGCACAGTAAATTAATCTATTGGGCAGTTAGTTACTGCCCATGAATACAGGTAGTAAACTAACTGGGCAGTAGATACCATTGCATGTGTAGACACTGGGCGGGAGGAAATTTGCTCCCAGTCAGCCCTTATACTAGGAGGCCACAGGAGACTGGGAATTCCCCCTGTCCTGGCACTACTCAGCTCCCAGCTCCCTCAGGAGGTGAGAGCCATGCAGCACCAGGATGGCTTAGCTCTCTGAACCCTCCTCCACGTCCCCCACCTCCACCCTGTTCTGGCACTGCTCAGCTGCCGGCTCCCTACAGGAACTCCCTGCTTCCCTGCACAACCTGGAGCTGGCTGGGAACTGTTCCGTTTTGGGGCAGGTCCCAGCCAGCTCTGGGCTGTCCACCATGAAACTGGCTGGGACCTGCCCCAAAATGGGACAGTTCCTGGCCAGCTCCAGGCTGCACAGCGAAGCTCTGCTGGGCCCAGGGCTTGTCCCCATGATGCGTATGGGGCCAGGAGACAGCTGCCACTGCAGCTGGCAGAGGTCTCCTGGCCCCATGCACATGGGGACCAGCCCTGTGCTCCCTGCTAGCCCCCAGGCTGGCACCCTGGGGAAGCCTGGAGCAGCCCCTGTCTGATGCAGGGGGGCAAAGCAGGGTGGGAGCAAGTCCCTTCACAAGAGGGAGCACATGTAGATATGTTCCTGGGTAGGCTTACTGCACAGTATTTTTACTGTGCAGTAAACTTACTTTGAATTAATAACGTGTAGATGCTCCCATTTTAGTACAACTGTCAAGAGAACAATTCTTGGCAGGGCTTGTTTTTTTTTTACAGCTACATGGCCAATATATTTGCTATAGACTTTACACTATGACATCTTAGCTTTCTTTTGCTAAAAAAAAAAAGTTTAGCACATCCTTGCCAAGAAAACCTACTAGAAGTAAACTGATGCAGCATTGTCCTTGTGCTTCCCATAACCTGAAACAATAACTCAGAGATGTGAGCTTCTCTGTTTACTTCAGTGGAGCATTCTCTCTGAAAGGTGAAGATGAGAGTTTAAAGGTCAACATTAAAACTGATTGTACTCATTTAAATATTCAGCTAATGGTCTTAGCTAGCATTGGTGGATGCAGAAGCAAGGTAATAGATTAGGCCAGGGGTTGGCAACTGATAGCCTGTGGGCCAGATCCAGCCTGCAGCACTATTCAATCCAGCCTGCAGAGATGGGCCTTTAGCAGCATTTGGTAGCTGAGGGCTTCAGCACAGGGGTTTCCTCTTGCCATTGTAGGGACAAGCTGATGGACAGGTCCTAGTGCACTCACCTCTGACCTGGGATGGGTCTTTCTAGTGTGTAGCTGAAAAGGGTTTCCTACCACTAGGACAGGCAGCTAGTTACTAGGCATCTATCGCAGGGATCAGCAAAGTTTTTCAATAAGGGGCTGCTTTAACAGAGCTTAGCTCTTAATGCAGGCAGCTACCACTGAGGCTTGTGCCAGTGCAGCTGTTATTACCGTTACCTACTCTCTGCCCACCTGGGACCTTCAGAGAGTATGTTGGCAGCCCAGGGTGCCAGGACCTTCAAAGAGCATGTCTGCAGCTCCAGGCATCCAGGCTGTGAGTGTCTACCCTAGGAACACCCAGACCTTCAGAGGACTCACCAGAACTTGGGTGGTGGTCACGGACAGTCCTAGGACCTTAAAAGAGCATGCATGCAACCCCAGTACTCCCACAGCTCAGGAGCCTGGACCGACACTGCCTGTTGACTGCTGCAGCATGGGTTGGGTTGGAAGTGGCATCAGTTGACATGTAAGTGACTACTGGTGATCAGCGGACCTGCTCTTGGGTAGCAGGCACACAGGGACCTTCAAAGCATGCACCCACAGCCCAGGAATGCTGGGATCTTCAAAGGGCACACATTAACCGTGGGAGCCAGGACACTGCTGAATGGCACTCCACCCCTGGGCTTGTGGGTGTGCTGAGAGAGCAACCTGAAGGAACAGCGACACTGGTTTTCCTGACCGGGCACAACTGCCAGTGTCAGAAAGGGCAGCTTGCCTACCTCCCTGATAACTTGCTTCTTAGCAAACTGCCATGGAGCCATCTGCTTTCCCTACCTCCCCTTGGAGGGGGAGAAGAAGAGCAGAGCGCAGTGGAATTATGGGAGTCTTTCTACCTGGCCAGATGTTAATATTTTTTTTGGCAGGACAAAAAAGTTCCTCTTTAAAGAGCAACCTCCTTGTCACAGAGCTATCATTTTCATTGGAAGACCCCTCATTTTTACTCAGAGACAAATTTCTTTAATGCCTGGCATGTTACCGTTTGTTGAAACTCACATACGTCTCATGACAAATGTAAGTCTTAATGACTTCAAACAGGGATAGCATGAATGGCTCTTTCCATTTGGTTGGCCCTTTTTGTCATAAATTTGTCTGTTTTCTAATTTACAGCTTTTTTAAATGATTGTATCATTTCAGTATAAACAATTTGGGAAGGGGGTGGAGAGGGATGAGATAGAAGCATAGGGAGGAGAAAGCAACTGAGGAAGCCTGCCATCAGATCTCCAAGAGATTGTCTGCATTAAGAAGTTTACTGGAATAGCTATGCAGAAAATGTCCTTATACAGACAAGCCTTAAAGGAGGGAATGCAAAAGATGTTGGGGAAATGGAACCTAGAATTAGTGTAAGGATTAAACTGTTTAATTGTATAAGGTTTTGCTTTCTAATGTCACCTCTTAGTTATGATGGTATGGAATCCTTTGAAATCCTGATATTTTATTGGTGATTTAGTCATTTATGTAGATAACTTTTTTTTAACTACAGACAGGGTTGATAATGTTGGGTGTGAAATCTTACTTGCCATATTTATTTCTTTTAGCAAAAACAACAATTCTTCTCTCCAGAATTTTAAAAAATGCCACTCACCTTGTCATGAACTTGAAGGAACAACAAATGTGCGGAGGAGGAAAATAGAATGGTCAAGGACATAGTCTGAACTCAAACTACCAACATTTTTTATAAACAATATGGACTGTTTTAAATAACTATAGCCTTGACTTAATTTTAATTTCATTTAATTCTAAGTGTTCCCCCCCTCCCAAAGTATGTTATTCTAAATTGGCAAGTTGACCGAATATTTTAGTTTGATTTGTTTTATGCTAAGAATCTGTTTGTTGTTTTGGTACAGTGAAAACAAAATGAAATTTCCATCTGCTGCAACCCCTGTATGTGGTACGTTTGACAAGTTGAGAGTTCTGACACTTAATCGAACTGGAGTAACATGGGTGGAGGTAATAAATATTTGACTTCTACAAGTAAACAGAAATTACTTCCTGAGTCATTTGGTTTCCTCATTAAATTAAGCATAGTGAAGATTTGTACACTAGACCAGTTGTTCTCAACCTTTTTGTACCAGGACCCGTTTGTAAACATCAGTGGCCAGTCCAGACCCCAGTGCCCCTTACTCCCAACCTTGCCCCCAGGCCTCAGCCCCCCGTGTGTAGAGTGGGGGGCGGGGAGGGAGTGTGTGGTACATGGGGAGGCCCCAAGCAGCCCTTGCAGGCTGAAACTATGCCAGCCTGATAGGGCAAAGCCACAGTCAGTTTCCCATGGTTTTTTTCCTTTAAAGGAGAATCCATTTTTAAAGTTTGTTGATCCATTTTTTAAGTTTGTTCACAACCCTTTCATATATTCTTGTGACCCACTTTTGGGTAGGGACCCACGGGTTGAGAAATGCTGTGTTAGACCACATAGTCTTCCAAAACAAAGTCTGGTCTGTGTTACAAAAGTTGTGCCACTTCAACTGTAGCTCAAACCTCTGACATAAACACAGTTAATCTTCACTTACACAGGCAGCTTGCCAAATTAACTGAAGCCAATGTATAGATTCATAGATGCTAGTGTTGGAAGGGACCTCAATGGAGCATTGAGTCCAACTCCCTGCCAGTGGCAGGAAAAAGTGCTGGGGTCATGCAACCCCAGCCAGGTGCTTGTCCAGTCTCCTCTTGAAGACCCCCAAGGTAAGGGAGAGCACTACTTCCCTTGGAATCCTATTCCATATTCTGGCAACCCTAACTGTGAAGAATTTCAACCTAAATCTCCCCATCAGCTTGTGGCCTTTGTTCCTGGTTATTCCAAAGGGTGCTATGGTAAACAGAGCATCTCCTATTCCGTGCTGCCCCCCCCCGTGAATTTGTATACTGCCGAAAGATCCCCCTTCAGCCTTCTCTTGCAGAGGCTGAAAAGGTCCAGGTCCCTCAGCCTTTCCTCATAGGGCCTTCTCTGCAGGCCTCTAACCATACCAGTAGCCATCCTCTGGACCCTCTCAAGGTTGTCCACATCCTTCTTGAATTGTGGTGCCCAGCATTGGACATAGTACTCCAGCTGTGGCCTGCCCACATCTTTTGAGGTCGATAGCGACCTGTCCACAGCCACTCTCTGGGCACGCCCCTTTAGCCAATTTGCCACCCACGTGACTGTGTAATCATCTATGGCACAGCCATTCAATTTGCTTATAAGAATAGGATAGGATACCATGTCAAAGGCCTTCTTAAAGTCCAAGTAGATGACATCTACCTCGACTCCTGCATCTAAGCATTTTGTAACCTGGTCATAGAAGGAAACAAGGTTAGTCAGGCTGGATTTACCTGCTATGAACCCATGCTGGTTGCCCTTTAGCATTTATTTTACTTGCTGGACTCCTACAAATGTGATCCTTGATAATTTTTTCAAGGGTTATTTTTTCAAGGGATAACTTTTTCAACTGTAGTCAGGTTTAACCTGTATTTCATGGTGCCTCCATTAGCAGTTTGTGGCAAAATACATTGATTCTTTTTAAAGTTTTATTTGCACTGGTGCATCTTTTCAATAAAGATGAGCTTTAAAAGCAAAATAAAAAATGCTGTGTGTACATTGATTGTTCAAAGCCACTTTTATGTGACTGTTTGAGATGCTTTGATCGTTTCATTCCCTATGAAGTATAGTTCACTTTCACAGTAGGCATTTAATATAGCTTTGTTTATAAAGGAGCTGGTAAATGTCCAGTCACTTCTGTGGTGGCTCCTGCTTGTTTGAAACTCTTGACACAGAAAAGTGACTTGAACATCTGAGTGTTCTCCCTCACTAATAAGTCTTCCTTCACACCTTGCTTACATTTTCCTCATATATACATGGCATAAAAGTCTCCTATTTTCTGTCCAGTGTTACATAGTGGGGGACTTACAAAACTGAAAGTCCCTCACTGTCCACCCCTTATTTGGATTGTTCAGCACCTTACCCTCCCTTTGTCATCTACACTTAGTGTTGTTTGCACGAACCTTGAAAGTTTCACTTCCATTTCATTTAAGAAGTAGGACTGAAAGGAGCCTTCTGGGCCGTTAAGTCCTGTCCCCTTTATAGATAACCCATATCCAGAAATGTGCATAAGAACACTGTTGCCATCTCTCTCATGTACCACATCCACAAAGTGCTAAATAAAAAACCCTACACCACAGCACAGATAAAGAACTAGGAGAACAAGGACACCTGCAGCACTTTGCCACAGCAACAGCAGGAAATTAAGTTAAAATATGTTAGGAGGTTCCTAAAAAAAAAGACCCTCCCCTGCACTGCAGATGAAGGCAAATAAAACCTCCACCATCCTTGTAAGTCTGACTCAGAAAAATTCTTTCACGACTCCAAACTTGGTAATGAATATCTGGTAAGAATCAGACTTAACATATAAGTACCTGAGAATGTGTTGGTACCTTAGGAACACCAGTACATCACAGTCAAATTTCTACATCTCATTGTGGCCAATGTCCAATGCTTTAGAAGAGAGCAAACCCCTAGCCCCTACAAAGGACTATCAAAAATCCTAGATTTTCAGATTAAAATCATTCCACATAGAGATTAAAGTTTCTTTTTTGGTCCCTTCATGGGCAATACCAGATATGGAAATCCTGGTATAACATGCTCAGATTATTGCACCAAAAACATACTTTTCCTACTCTACTGTCTCTTCTGTAAACCTTGTTGAGCTTCATCTTAAAGCAAGTCAGTTTCCTTACCCTTATTTTTGGAGGGTTATTTTAGAACTTGATATCTTCAATGTTTAGAAGTCTGCTTCTATTATCCATCTAGATTTGTTTGTGACCAGTTTATATCCATTCAATCCTATCCTGGTATTGTTATTTAACTTGCTTTCATGCTATTTACCCCACAGATATTTTTATAAGGAGCAGTTACATTTCCTCTCAGCCTTCATTTTGCTTTTGCTTAACAGGATAAGCTCTCTTGCTCTTTTTTTCATAAGTTGTGTTCCCCTAATTACCCTAGTGGCCCTTCTCTGGACCTGCTCAGATCTGAATTAATCTTTTCGAATATAGGTGAGAACTGCACATAATATTCCAGATTGAGTCTTACCAATTTCTTCTTATAGTAGCACTAGTATTTTCCAGTCTTTACTAAAAATACCCAAACTAATATGTTTGAGGATTTCAGTAGTCTGACTGTTGGCTGCATGTACTTATGGCTCATGGGTATACAACAATAGACCAGGAGAGCCAGTTCCCTCTTCCTCCATTGACTCCAGTCTGTGAGCCCTATAGCAGACGGCCTTGTCATTAGTTCCTAAATATTTGAGTTTGCACTTTATATTATTAAACTTCTCGCCATTTCTGTCACTTTCTTCCAGAAGGCTATCTAATTTGCCCTGCCTGATAATCAGACCCTCCTCTCTATTGCCAATGCCTCACTGACCTAGCATTTGCAAATTTCATAAATGCATATTTAGTTTCTGCACCAGGGTCACTCATGAAAATGTTAAACAGGATGATCCCAAGATCAGTCCTGAGGAACTTCACCAGGCGTGCTCCAATCTGATCCATTCCTTTCAACTTAACCAATTGTAATTGCCATTTTGTTAAGTGATATCTGCAGTGTATTGTATGCAGCAGCAAGAATGGAAGAGCGAGTGTGGTTTTTGTGGTTTTGTTCTGTGTTTATCTGTACACTAGCCAATAAGCAATCAGCTGGATGCAGATGCATCTCTCTCACTACCAGTAGGATTAGTACTAGAATAGATAAAGACCCTAGGTGATTTTAACTACATACTTGTAAACCTTCTCAGAGCAAGTCTGTACATCATGATGCTTAAAACACTGGCAGCTATCAGCAGCTTTCCTCTTTGCTAGTGGTAGCAGTGAAGGGGATTTTTAGCAAAGATTTTCTCATACAGACAAAAGTTATTTCTGGGTGACTGACTTTTAAAGAGAACCCCCAGGTTAGCAAGAGCAGTTTAGAATTGTCTTGCTTTTCCTGTGAGGCTCAGCTCCAGCTCACCAGCTCTCCTTGGGTGGAAAAGGTATTTTAAGGTCTGAATGCTTCTTTATACAGTCAGGCTAGTAGAATAATGCACTCCCATTTTAAACAACAGTTCAATACAAGCTTGCACTTGAAAGTGGCTTTTCCACCTGTGGGGGATGGATGAGCTGGGTAGTCAGACAAAGGGAGAAAGACGAGTTGAAATTGGTCCTGGCTGCCGCTTCAGCAGTGCTTTGTGTTGAAGCACCTTAAAGATGTTACTGCAAAAGCTGCATTAGGAATAATGGTGAAAATGCAACCTATTTTGGAATAGAAAGCAAAAAAAAAGCCTATGACCCAGGTAGCCAGAAAATCTTACAGTTTGCAACTGGGCTCCTTGAGAATGTGAAGAGGGGTATGAAAATGCTGGAAATATTTTTATTTAATGTGAAAAGTACTTGAAAGGTGAAAAGTTATTCAAAATAGCATACAACGTAACCATCTCTACACCATAAGAACACAAGAAATAGAACTGTTTGTAATTTTTTCTGTTTTTCTCATACCTACATTTTGAACTGTTTTTCATAGTAGAAGGATACACTTTTTATAAAACAGCTTTTCTAAATAAAGGAACCTTGAAATATCCATATTCTGGCAGTTTCAGTGCACTGAAGGTTGTGTTTTATTGGCCCATTAAATACACCACTTGGGGGTCTAAATACATCTGAGATTTGTATTAACAGATCACTGAAACCAAATTGTGTCCAAGCACTGCCTTAGTTCCTTATGGACATTTGATTAAAGTAGAACATATAATTTTCAGCCAGAAAAAAATGTAAAATAGCTTACAGCCAGATGCCAGTGAAATGCAAGCATCACTGGTGCATTTGAAAGTCAAGTGATTCACAGTTACGGTTCTACAAACAACCCTAATGCTCACTCCATATTTTTGTCTTATTTCATCTGTTATGGTTGGTTGAGAATCGGAATAGGATTACAAGTATGTGACTCATCATCAATGATATGTAGTCTGAAAGGTAACTGAGGTGGTTTAGTTTCTCAAAGGGAACGAGACAGTGTTGTACCTTGGCGGCAAAAATAGGTGAGATATAGTGGCATTTCTTCCTGTAGTTTGGGCACCTGAGGGAAAGCTGCTCTTTGAGCTGGTAGATGATGTGATGTGCAGAGTGCAGATGTGTACTTATAATACAGTAGTGAGTTATATTTGGGGCCTGAATAACCTAAACCAAGAATCATGTAACCAGTATACCCGCAACTTTGCGGGCTCTTGTTCTTAACATTTTTATTGTACGTTATGTATAATAAAATGTAATTTCAGGTTTGTAGTACTTACTGGAAACATGGATGATGGAGAGCTTGAGTCTAATAAACACTGGTGTTTATTAGAACTTGTAGTTAAAAAGTTATTTAGGAGTTTTCTATTAACATCTTTAACTTCCTCCTAAATTCTTTTTTTTTATATAGTTTTGTTTTGTTAAGTTTTTACTGATTTGTGTTTCTTCTACATGTGACCTTGCCATAGGTTACTTTTTGCAGTCAGTGTAAGCATAAATAATATAAAATTTGAACCAAATCCTTCTTGGCTGAGTGCATAGGTTCCTTGAACAGACAAGGTTCTTTGGGTGAATCTGATATCTTTTATTAGACCAACTTAAATGGCTGAAAAACAATTATTAAGCAAGCTTTCGGGTTCTAAAGCCCTTCGTCAGGCTAAGGAAGTTTCAACAGTTGGTGTGCGCTCTTCCTGAATGGAAGAAGCCAGAGGCTGGTCTGGTATGCATACAAGATGGGTTCCTTGAATGAGTGTGTCACTTAGGATTTTCAGACACCAAGCAATGCACTGACTGGCTGCACTCTATGAACTTGCATACTTTCACTTGGGAAACCTACTAACTGCTGGGCAGTCACCTGTCAGTGAAGCTTTTAAGCTGTGCCTGATCTGTGACAATGTTTATAAAGTTTGTCTGTCCTTGTGTAACGTGCAGAGGTTCAAAAATCACTATGTATAAACTAAAACGTTGCAGTTTTCGCAGAATAGTCCTGCATGGGAGCCTGTCTAGCACTATGGGGTAAAATACACATGAAATGTTTATGGCACTGGTTTTCAAACTGTTCTGCAGAACCTCAAGGGTCAGTGATAGAGCATCAGGAGTTCCTCAAAGAGGCTGGGGGTTATGGTAGAGGGGGCCAGGAGGTGGTACACCACTGTTACCAGGCCAGGTCCCCTGGTTTTATGTCAGCTCACATGGCTTGTGGAAACAGGGATTAGGGGTTCCACAGCAGAAGTGATTTGAAAGCGTTCTTTGACTTTAGGAAGTTTGAAAACCAGTGGCTTGGGGGCTATCAGTTTAAGAGGGCTATATACAAAACCACAGAAAACTTTCATTGGCCTCTATTCCACCCAGGAGAGCGCACACAGCACCAGCAGACTCTCCCTATATCTGAAGAAGACCGTCCACCCAAAAGCTTGCAAAGAACAATTTTTCCAACTATTTAACTATTACTTAGTTTAATAAAAGAAATCATATTTACCCAAAGAACCTGGCTGCCTGTGTTCTTAGACCAACATGGCTATACCCAACACCTTTAAAATCCAACGTATTGGTCTGTAAACAGATGTCTCATATGAGGCAATTCGGATTGATCCAACTCAAAACCTGGGACAAAAGAGGAGCTGCAAAGCCCTTTACACACACAGCCCTTTCCAGCTGCATTGTTGTTCAATGCCAGGGCGAGCACATAGCCTGATAGGTTTGTCCCTCAAATGATTGGCAATTAAACCACTTTTAACTTATACAGCATTATGGTAGGAGTGTTAGCAGATTTTATCTTGCATACTTCCCTTGTATATAAAGTGGGACAAAGGACTGGTTCTCTGTAGGATCTTGAAAGAAAAGGCTTTCTCTTGGGGAAATATGCAGCCTCTATTTACACCCTTAGAAGCAAGTTAATCTTAGTGGTCTTTACCAAATTGTGCATTCTTTGAATCAGACATGAAATTTCAGGTAAAAAGCAGTGACTCAAAGCAAGAGAGGGGTACATTACTATATAATTTTAAAATTAGAATAGGAACATTGTCAGTTTTGAAGTACAGACCCAGTATAGTTCAGTAATGTTGGGTTTTCTGGCTGTGCAAAGTGCTGCTGACTTCTTCCATCCACAGTCAACAGATCCAAAATCATACTGTCATCACTGTTGAGATGGGGGAGCCATCGAAATTGGAAGTCTTGCAGATCACTTATTTGTAAGAGCTACAGTTTGTTTTGAATGTGTCTTATGCCTATCTGAAGCACACATTCGAGTACAAATGCTGTTACCTTTATTCTATACTAAATTAAGTTTTCCTATTAGGTTCTTCTGTGTGCTCCAGGGTGGCCAGCACTTGAAGAATTGTACCTTGCATCTAATGATATTACAGTTTTAGAAAGGTATGAGGTTCAGCTTAAATGCTGAAGTCATCATTTTATGATTGTTATACTGTGTACATAAGGATATGATGTCTGGAAAAAATACTAAACTCAATTCCAGCAGTGCTTGAATTATCATTGCCATGGTAATCTTGTATAATACATCTTTGATATGTTATTTGAGTGGAAACACTTACCTGTGCAAATAGTTATTTCAGTTATGCAAGTGTAAATGAGTGCAAGTGTCTTAAAACAACTCTAAAATGTCGTTATGGTTTTTAATTCTGCAGGCCCACTAATGTTTTACAGACCCTGAAATTGCTAGACCTTTCAAGCAACCAATTAATTGATGGAAATCAGCTGCATCTAATAGCACATCTCCCCAGGTATCTGTTGGAGAACTTCACTGAAAATTCTTTTTCATGTTCCATAAGTGTATTAGTTCATGTATACTTTGTGGACTGAAGTATAATAATATTGACTTAATAAAAAACAAAATTGTACCCCCTCCCTCCAGATTATGTTAAATATTTCAGTTGTGCACCACAAAAGAAAAAAAAAAATCCTTATTTCCACACTTTTATAACTTCTAGTATTAAGACAAAATGAAGGCATGTTTCTACTGCCAATTTCATTTGATTTTTGTAATTTATTTGATTTTTGTTCTCCCATCCCACCCATCATAACAATTCAGAATTGTTCAGACCTTTCCAAGGACAGAGATATATCTTGGAGACATCACTTTCTGCAAGAGGTTGTTCAGCTGAATGTGTAGTAGTTACAACTTTGAGGTAGCATGAAATGCTACTCTGCCTTTGAGCATTCGATTGAAGGAAAAAATTGCTTTCTTTTAAGCAGCATTTAGCTTTGCATCCGTTAAAAATGTGGAGCCAGATTAATTAATAATACTGATAATTAGTAAACTGGTAACTAAACTGATAACCAACCTACCTGCTGGTACTGGTACACTTCTAAAATCACAGTGTATGCAATAAAAGGGTTGACACAAATCATTACATATAAAAAAGACAGTATTTTTACTAAAATGTTTAACAAACATACTTTAAATTTCAGATTAGAAAAACTAATACTTTCAGACACTGGAATTTCTTCTGTACACTTTCCTGATGCTGGATTTGGTATGTAAAGTAAACATTGTGTGTTACATTTCCATATTTTAGAAGACTTTAAATTGTCGTCATTATCTTGTAAATTTATTCCCTTTTTCCTAGGGTGCAAGACAAAAATGTTTCCTTCGCTGAAACATCTTGTAGTAGATAACAACAAAATATCACAGGTAAGTAAGACTATAATGCCTTTCTTTTTCTTTCTCGCTCGTTTTGTTTTGTTTGTTTAATAAGGAATGGCAAATATACCTTTTGGGTTTACTTTGCTAAATATATACATGACTAGACAATTGTTGATAAGAACTAATGCCCTCAACTATCTATTGTATTTCTTACTTCGGAGAGGTAGAGTATCTTCTTTAATTTCCACCCTGTTAAGCAGACAAATTGTTGCCCAAATTATTACCAGGTACCCAACATAACTCTCCCATTGGTGCATCCAGACGTGCATGGATGTTTGGTTCTCTGGGGACAACTAGCAG